CCCCTATATTCTTCATTCCCAGAGCCCATAATGTCTCCTCACATTTGCTGCCCTGACATAACTCAGTCCCTATAGCAGCGTGATATATATTTCTTATCATATAGCTAATCCATATGTGAGCCGTGTAGGAGAACCTACAACCAGCAGCAAGTACATTGGAGTTCTATGGTATCCAATCTTCCCGGCGGGCCCCTATAGATGGCTTGGCTGTAGACTGTGTAATATCTATAGGTGCAGCACATACCCGGGGGATACGCATTGCTATTAAGCTCTAACTATTTGTTGCTGGATGGCTACAATTTGATATCATTTCCCAGATCCACATGTAAGATCTATAGGAGGCGACATAGTAAGCAGAACCTGCACCCAGACTTCCATATCACCATAACGCATCTCCCTACAGGTATAGAATCTCCGCCGCAGGCCCCTATAGATGCCGTGTCTGTAGACAGCTGGCTGCTGACGCTCTCTCCTACACTAAGCCATAGGTAGGTGACATACATTGCTGTCAGGCCCTCCATGCACTTTACATTAGCTCCCTCCATGCTGCTCTGAGGTGGGCCCCTACGTTGGAATTCGGGCCTTGTGACAATGCTCTCCTCAGGTCTGGGGCCACAGGCGACCATCATGTGCCCAGGATGCCCCGGGTTGTCCCTGCTGAGGTCCGGACTCTTCTACCTGCTGCTCTTCGCTCACAGCTCCCAGGGCAAAGCCTGCGAGAAGAGCCCATGCTTCTCCGGCCGCTGCGTCAACAACACCTGCGCGTGCGACCCCGGCTGGGTGGGGGAACAGTGCCAACACTGCCAGGGCAGATTCAAGTAAGTGCCAGCTTGGTGTGTGTGTGTGTGTGTGCCAGGGTGCTCGTCTGCGAGACATCTTCATCTCTCCGGCTGCTGCGGAACTACAACCCCCAGTGGGCTCCCGGTGGTCAGCGTGCTGGCCCTTGTCGTTCCTCCATAGCTGGAGGGTCCAGTAAGTGGCCAGTGCCCCGTGTGACCTGTAATATTCCGGAGCACGTGCTCTGGCCTTGGCCTGGACCATTATGCCCGCTCGCTGGATTTTTTCTCCTGTTGGACCGCCACAATGTAAAATGTGCTGTGACAGTCACCCTCCCCCCGCTACAATTGTATCTAATTTACTCTGATATTATTATTTATATTATTATTTATTATTCTATTTAAATTATTCTATTTATATTATTATTTATATTATTATTTATGTTTTGGTATTTATTTTTAAGTTTATATGTATAT